GCAGACATGACGCTCAAATCTGCTGACACCAGAAACCTGCTTTCTTTACTTTTTATTTATCTGTTTTTTTAAGGCGGGCGGTAAACAGCAGCCTGGTTAATACCGCGATCGAAGACATCCTTTTATGCAGACCGGAGCCTCCAATGCACCTGAGGGGAGCAGCTTTGACTGATGCTTCATAATGCATGTCGTTGGACAGAAGTTCTGGACTCCTTAGGAAAGCTCTATTTATACGCCCAAAATAAAACAGAAATACATAGAAAAATAAGCGTATGGCAGCGTTTAGGAGATTCTGGGACGGTGGGAGTACGTCGGCTAAATGGCGAGTTGTGACAGCGGCCTAACCTGCGGTTTTAGCATGAAACATTGATCACAGCGTCAAACTGCAGATCTGGGATCATCAGAAACTCAGACCCTGAATCTACCTCTGCTGCCCTCCCCTCTGCAGAAGCTGATAGCATACGGTCACATCACCGGCAACGCCCCCGACAGCAAAACGCCGGGTAAGAGGCTCATCGACCGGCTGGTGGAAACCATCTGCAACTGCTTCCAGGGTCCACAGACGGACGAGGGAGTCCAGCTCCAGATCATCAAGGTAGGAGCAGCTGCTTCTATGTCCGGGGAAGGGTCCCTGGGAGATGTTCTCTTTAACAGAACCTGGAACCTTTAGATGCTGCCCGGATCAATCAGACATGCCTGCTGCTGTTTAGCTCTTTGTCTGAAAGCAGGCGTGTTTCTGATAAACTGGTGCAGCCTGAACCTCTCCATCATCTATCTGAGGATCTGTGGAGATCATTCAGGCCGTCCTTGGCCCTGCAACCAACCTGATTGTTAGAACTGGATGCTGATGTTCTGCAGTCTTCTCTGTTTATGTTAGATGCAGACCTGAGAGTAGATCCACCATATAGCGGTGAACTGATGCAGTAGTGAAGCTGAAGGGGAAGTGGAGCGGTGACTCAGCAGGGCAGCGTGCTCTGAACACATCCTGTCTGCTAACGTTTTCTTCCTCTGGCGTCTGTCCAGGCTCTGCTGACAGCAGTGACCTCCCCGCACATAGAGATCCACGAGGGCACGGTGCTGCTCACCGTCAGGACCTGTTACAACATCTACCTGGCCAGCCGCAACCTCATCAACCAGACCACAGCCAAGGCCACCCTCACTCAGATGCTCAATGTCATCTTCACGCGCATGGAGACCCAGGCTGTTAGTTCAACTCCTCACTGTAACGAAGATGATTGGCTCTGGACTCATTATTCATTCAGACGACCCTAAAATAACCTCAGATGGTCTCTCAGGATCTGGTACAGGATCAGTGGGGTCAGTTACAGGTCAGATCCAGGAGGGTTACAGGTCAGATCCAGGAGGGTTACGGGTCAGATCCAGGAGGGTTACGGGTCAGATCCAGGAGGGTTACGGGTCA